GAGAGAGAGAGAGAGGAGAAAATAAGTGAACGATAAAAGTAAAAAAAGAATAAAAAAATGGAAACGATGAGCGCGTCGTATGCGAGCATTCGACGAATGCGCGAACTAATAATTATACTTGTAAATACAGTAAACGATTTAGTGATAACGGGGGTTTTACTTTTAACAGCTTTATGTGATTATTACTTTGTCATGATCAGTGAAATAAATAAATGATGATAATACTTTAACCATTGTTTAACGATCGTTCTATTTTATTTTCAGATTTGCACCCTTTATATACTTAACATTTCTATTTTAAAATTTACGTTTTTTTTTTTTTTTACACATACTTCCAATTAATTGAAATATTGAAAAGATATTTCGACTTCAAAAACTTTAAACAAGTCTCTTATCAAGAGTATCCAAGTATAAGGAGGACAAATGCCTGTACTGGAAGATATATATTCCTTATAGCATAGTTGGACGGATATTGGGAATTTCGATGGTGAGTAGAATTATTGTTCAATAATGCAAATCAGGCGCAGCTGGTTCACGTGCTAATTAGGTCTACGGGGGGATGGAGAATCTCCATTGACTTCGGAGTAACAAATCCCTTTGATGGCCGACTGAATCCTCCTAATGGTCGTGCCGCTGGCTATTGTTAATAATCAATCAGAAGTAACTGTTGTTTCGTTAATTATTAATCGATTCTAAATTCAAATTTAAACATGTTGCTCAATTTTTTTCTTTGAAGCAAAGACATTTTTATAGCATTTAAAATATATTGGAATTCATACACGTGATACTTTTTTGCAAAATTTTCTTGCAAGAATGCCAACCCTTGAATAATCAGCTACACAAAAGAGAAAGTTTTTATCGTGTGCACGTATAATATAATCAAATTTCAAAGGAATCTCTTTACTTAATAACTCGATTAATAACACACGATTACAACGTAATCACATCTTCATCTGGAATAAAAAAAAAAAAAACCAAAAATATAACTTCACGCATTCTCTCCCTCTAAGATAGTAATCTCATTGCGCACAATTCTCACCTCATCGGAAAAAGATTCGCCCCACAGATATATCGTAATTCTCCCCACAAAGGTAATTACATACACTTTCAATCATCGATTTTCACCTTAACAAAGATTCTTTCCCCAAGAGTAACTTCTTTATTTATAGAATAACCTACGTGATCGTGTGCCATTTCCAATTACCACCGATTCTCACCTCTTCTTCACTCAAGAAAAAAAAAAAATTCAAGGATCAACTCCAAGAATAACTTGGATTTATTTATAAAGTAATCCAATACAAATATTTTCTACAAATTATCATTGGACCGGCTCTCACTCGCTCAAAAAACGAAGAGATTGAAAGATACAATTTTCAACCTCATTCACAATTCCTCTTGGCTTCCTCGAAGGGTAGGTACGCGGTTTGGACGACGCCTCCTCTTGTGCTCGCATCGTTTCCATTCCTCTTCCTCCGTTCGTCATCGGGTTCGCGACGGGGGATACAAAAATATCATGAATCCTCGCCGTCACGCGAAGACGACGGAGTCGTAGAAGGGGAAGAGTTGGTCGAGAGGAGAGAGAGAGAGAGAGAGAGAGAAACGACGACACCGACGTCGGTGTCAGTGGAGTAGGTTGTGGAGGCGGATGAGGCGGAGGCGGACGGAGCGAGGAGACCGAGAGCGAGACAGAGGATTAGCAGAGTGAACCAGTCGCCCTTTCGTTTCTCCATCGTTCAAACACCACGCTCCAGACAAACTTCGACGTGCATAGACAATGCCTGAAGAACGTTGATCTTCCTCCTCTTCCTCCTCCTCCTCCTCCTCGACCCCTCCTAATCTTGTGCCCTTAACCAAGTGTCTCTCGTCCAAAGCGTTTCCTCCGCTCCGAGTGGCAAGTGACAACGAAGTTGTTGAATCACCGTTTCCAACCACCGGATTCTTCTACGGGAAGGGAGCACCATTCAGGATTTTGGTTTGGTACGAGGATGATCGGTGTAGTGTTATTTTCTTTTCCTACGATTGTTATCCGCGTCGATAATTAGTAAGTGTTGGTTTTTAACCCTTTCGAGATATTTGGAATTGAAACGATTAGCAATAATAATATTTATTGCAATTTAAACAATTCGTAATTATTAAAAATTTGTTTTATTTAATACATATTTAACGCAGATGTCAAAAGGATTAATTTCCAAGTGGGGAAGAATTATTTACAAACTTTGAATCGTTCGACTCGGTCGAACGACATTCGCGCGCGGTTTTCAAGGAACGAAACGAAACGTGTTTGTTCTTCGAGCGAAACAATCGCTCGAAAATCATTGGAAACGAAGAGTTTCGAGGGGAAGCTCGTCGAACGATCGACACGCTGCCGGAAGAGGAAGGTGCGCGGTGGTGATTGGTCCGCAGACTGTCAAAAGATTCGAATCCCGGAACGTTTCTTCGGCTTCTGCCGTTCTCCAGTTCCTCCCTTCCTCAACGTGTTCGGTGCTATTATTGCTGTGCCGCCTAAATATAGGTGAGAGCGTACGCTTGACGCAAATCGAAAACAGAACTTGTAAACGTGCGTTCACGCTTTTTATTTTTTTTTTTTTTCATTTTTTTTTTTCTTTACTTTTTTCTCATTTCACCTCGAACGCCACGATTTTATTTTCCTGCCTCAGTGTCTCGGTGGAAGCATCGACGCGATGAAGCAGCCGATGCAGTGGATATTGGTCTACTTCTGGACTCTTGGTGAGTACCCACAAATTCTTTCTGGATTTTTTGTTCCGTAAAAAAGGATTTACGTGTTATAAAAAAAAAATAGAATTTTACATTTATCGTATCACGTTTGAAAATGAATAATGAATAAATGGAATAAAAATGTCGTGGAGTCAGGATATTAGAAAAGAGATTGTTAATTGCATAACTGTAATTTATTGTTGAAACGAGGATTAAAGATGCTTCGAGACAGATGACTTCATATAATTGGTCGAATGAAGAAAGATTCATTTGTGGAGACGTATTATACAATGGAATTTTAACAGATGAATGAATATCGCAAGAATTATTTAATTAGAATTCCATGTTTCAAATTATGTAGAAAATAGTTTGAAACATTGGAATTTATAAAAATTTATAAAAATTTATGAAAATATACGTGTATGGAGCAAACGATTGTGTATTTTATTCTTGTTTTTAAACATGATGCAAAAAAAAGTTATATAACATTTACATAACATTCTCTATAAGAATGATTAAACATATCTCGACATTTTTTTATTCTGAAACATCGAAGCGTCGTAATTTCTTAATAAATAAAGCAAAAAAAAAAAAAAGAAGAGAAGAAAAAAAAAGAAACAGGAATAACAAAAACGGAGCTTTCCTCTCCAGTGATTTTCACTCACAAAATAAAGAAACTTCTTCGTGGGAAGAATGAAACTTTGAAAAAAAAAAAGAACTATAAGCAGAGAGAACAAATTTGAATATCTTTTTTAAATTTTCATTTGCTCAAATGCTGACTGAAAATGTAAATTTGCAAATGTTAACAAGGTCGACCAATGCGATGCCTTTATGCTCCAAACGAAAGGAGCAAACCGTTTCTGATTAATTAAAGATATTTCGTTCATACGTGAAATCGGGTTAAGACGCGTTTCCACGCGGTTCTACGTTTTTCGAAAACTTGGCAATTAACAATTTTAGTGGGGAAAAATGTAAAGGACGTGGTTTGAAAACGACGTATATCTTTCGAGGATTGCTTCACAGCGTTTAATTTTTTAATTGCACGTCGCATATGCCATAAAGTGGAAAAGTCGTAACTATTGACATAGTTGATAACAGGATGAATTAATAAAATCTGACTCAAAGAGATCATTGTCAAGAAATGTCATTGAGTAATTAATTGTTTTGCAATTTTTAATTGTAAAATTATTACAAAGAGCAGGCAAAAATTGCGTATAAAGGAAAAGAAAAGTCTTTCTAATTTATTCAATTGCCAATGAATGAAACTTATAACGCACGATCAGATTTAATTAATCAAATAATTAAATCAGGATGAAGAGGATGAAGATAATAATATTGAACTGCCGCTATTTCAAGATAAATTTATCTTGGATACATATTATCAAAGTAGAACATCTGATTACAAGAGAGAGACATCAGTATTTCATTTTTAAATAAAAATATAACAGCTCGTGTAATAAATGAAATCCAAATGAAATCCGCAGACAGATATGAATAAATTTCTACCGACTAATTGCAACGGCAAATAACACGGAGACTGACGCGTTATCGTGACTATGATATATTTTATGATTACATATATAAAACTATGATAAAATCCAGCCTAAGATTGACAAATGTAATTCCCTTGATCAAATATTGACCAAGTCGAATCGGATAATTTTATTCGCTTTATTGCGATTTCTGATCGCCAGATGACGAAAACGGAAGTTATCCGTTTATACATGTGAAAATAAACACGGTCCCCGATGAATCGAACTTGATTGACGTGATTATGATAAGGAAAACCGATATATCTTTAGAAACGTCTGTTTTCGTCCGAAGATAGAGAGAAATCGTGGGATTGGAAGATAGATAAATGATTGGGTTCGATCGTTCGAATGGATTTCTCGTGTTCTCGTGAAGAATAAACGCAATTTCAATTTCGAGATCGAATATTCTTACAGTATATATATATATATATATATAGTAGTAGAGTATTAATTTATTTAATTAACTAGACAATAAAAGTGTTTGCAAAGCTTCGATGCTCGAAGCTCGTTTTATCAAAGCCACAAAATTTCTGAAAACAATAAATCGCGGCTTCTTACCTTAAGAGAAGAAAAAAGAGAGAAAGAGAAAAAAGAAAAAGTATCCTCGAAATTCTCTTCTCTAATTTAATTAATTAAACCAGAATTTAAATCCAAGCTAAGTCCAAACACAGGTTAAACACAAACGGAAAAGCAGAACAATAGTCTTTGCATTTCTCTCCCTCTGTTAAACAAAACTCCCTTCATACCCGCGTATAAATATCAGCGAAACGGTTATATTATCCCCAACCGTGGAACGATTCCAGGTCGCTATCGTCGCGAGTGGTGGAAAATTGATAAAAAAAAAAGGGGGGGGGAAGAGCGAGGGAATAAAATAAAATAAAATAAAAACAGGCCGTGAAAAATGTAACGAGCGGAAGTGGCCGCGGTGTTGGAAAAAAAAGAAGTTCGATCCCGGAAGAACTCTCTCTCTCTGTCTCTCTCTCTCTCTTCTCTCTTTCGCTCAGCCCGCTCGTTTCAAACTCGATGAATTTGCGCGGACGAGTTTTCGTGGCTTGTTTAAATCGCGGCTTTTTTTACGATCGGCGGAAGCGATAGTGGCGATCCTCTCGGATGCTCGGATATAAAAACATGGAGGGGGGAGGGGGAGGAGAAGGAAAAAAAAAAGAAAAAAGAGACAAAAGGATAAAGAGGAGAGAAGAATGGATAAACCGATCACAGGGAGGACGGTTTGTTTCGCGGGAAAATCGAGTTTTACGAGTGCGCGGCAGTCGCTAATCCGCCATTTTTTCCGGCGTGAAAAAGCGTCGCGCATCCAGTTAACGAATATTTATTAAGCTTTTGAAACAAAAGAGTTGTTTTTACCCTCTCTCGCGTTTGCCTCTTATTTGCATCTTTGCGCGCTCGTGAATTGTGTTCTTTCTTTTTTTTTTTTGGAAGAGGAGGGAGGGGAGGAGGAGATAAATATATTGGAAACGAGCAATGCGTCCTTGGAATTGTATTCTTCTTGTCTTTCGAGAAAGAAGAAGCGCTCTTGTTCGTGGAAGCGTGCGTAAAAGTGTAAATGTGTAATTTATTTTACCTTGATTTTGAAAGTGCGTAACAAGTGTAATTTTTTAGGATTTCTAGGACGAAAGGTGTGATGATTACATTGCACCTTTACAAATGGAGAATTTTGTAATTAATTGTAATCACGACATTTATATTAATTAAAAAAAAAAAACCATTGGATATTCACCGCGAAATTGAAATATTTCTGATCAACTGAGCATCGCGGAAAATCCGTATTCAAAACCGGTATATCGGATCATCTTTCATTGAGAAATTGCACACCGTTTGTCGCATTTGCGAATGTCCCGTCTGCAAATCGTTTATGAGGCTGGACCCTCGTCATCTGTCATACTTGCCGTACCGGCACGCACACGTCATTTTTTATCAACGAGAAAAAAACGCGACAAGTGTTTAACCACAGACGTGTTACACGTGAGCCAAGTGTTAACAGAGCGGCTCCATAACTTTGTTGCGCTCGTTCGTATCGTGTGTAACGCTCGTATCACGTAACGATACCCTGTTGCAACATTGTTGCAACGCGGAAGAATTACACGCATCGTTTAAACGCTCGTTTTCGAATTTCGAACGTGTTGAATCGTGTCGATGATTTATGAATGTTCGACGGAGGAGGAGGGGAGACTCTGTTGCATAATTCGCGTTGCAAATTTAAAGGAACGAAAGATGAAAAGTTTGTCTATAGATTGGATATAGCCGGAGGTTATTAGCCAGTTAAGTTCAATGTTACATCCTGTCTGAGTGTGATAGAAGGTCCCAGCACTCCCCAGTTGACTTGTGACGTTGCTCGGATAATCTGTTATGATCGACGTCATTTTATCCCGTCGATATTGTTGTTATTTCCGGGTCTGTGGAACAAGCAATCGGACGGACGATTAAAAACTGAGATACATGCTTCTGTCTTTTTCAAAACGTCGATCTAACTTTATTCCATGTCCCACGTTAATTTGAATAGCAATTCTGAATTATTTGCCAATCCTGTTTTTTTTTTTTTAATCTAAGATAATCAACGTAATTAACAATATCGGAGAAGAGGAATTGATTAAATTTTTATAAAATTATTTTACCATTGAAATTCAAATATTTGTCTCGCCTATTGAAGGTTGTATACAATTTAATCAAATATTCAATTTAACCCATATAATTTTCGTCGAGAGAGAGAGAGAGGAGTTGGCTATATGTAAACGTAAGGACGGAGAATAGGTTGCAACATTGTCGGCATAGATGTATTATGTAGAACAAGATACAGGATGGAAATGAATTTATCATGGAATTGAAAATTGTTATTTAAACGAAGTTCACGTTTCATTTAACAATTGGCCCGCAGCATGGAACACGTGCCCTGTACCCCATCCAAAATTTATTCTGCTTTATTACATGGCGATTCGCGCTGATAAATTATTACACGAGGAGTCCTCGACTTTTGTCAAATGTTCTTCATTCGTGGATTCGAGTAAATTTTAAACTGAAATCTAAAAATAATTCAGCAACATAAATATATAGAGATAAATAAATATATAGAGAAAATTTTTAAATTGCTCCGTTCTTCTAAGAATTGATAATTCCTAGTAGATTCGATAATTTCACGCAAGACATTACGTCACCTCTAATTTAAGAACTGATTCGGCTGTAAGAAAAGAATTTCGCGGGGGTTGATTTTCGAAAAATCCAAGGCTATAGAGAACGTTTATATTTAAGCGCATCGTCATGCAAAAAATTTTAAAAGATGCGTACTCGTCGATCTTTTCTCAAACTTTTTATCTTTGCATAACAACTTTGCGTAACTTCAGAATTTGTTTCGTAGTTAAGAAAAGAATAATTTATCTTCTGCAAATATAAGCATCTAATACTTTTCTTATTATTTATAACAAAATTTGCTTAAAGATTTTAAAACAATATGATACTGCTCGATTTAAT